GCTGTGGCCCTTGGGGACATGGGTCAGTGGTGGCCTTGGCAGTGCTGGAGATGGTTGGACTCGATGGCCTCGGGGACCTTTTCTAATTTAAGTGATTCTATGATTCCATTTTCCTCTTCAAATCCATCTGGGAAGCAGTTTGCATGAAAGGTGCAGCAACACCGTTTGTGCCGTGGCTTTGATTTACAGAATCCAACTGGAAAATCCTGCCTGTGATTCCTCCCTGAGAGCTCTGGCAGAGTTATCAGCACTCCCCACGCTGACACGTGGGTTGGAAGGGGCTCTTTGACACACAAGTGCAGGCAGCTGGTTTGTGAGGAGGGAGGGATGGGACAGGTTTCCTGGGGCTTCTTCCAAAAGGGGGATCAGATTGCTCACAGTTCATCCAGCCCCAGGCTCAGCCATCTATTCTCTCCCCCCAAGGGAAATGGCAGTCCAGGATGCCTTTGGGATGGGAGTTTTTAAACAGCTCCAGATGCTGAAGGGCTGTGAGTTAAGACCTGAGAAACAGGTGGGTTTTGCTTTTTCCTCTTCTCTTCCTGTCACTTGTACAGTGGAAAACCAAAGGCCAAGTGTGTAATTCGAGTTAAAACTCAGCTTTAATGTTCCTGTCTGAGCTGCAGGGCTTTAACTGCAGGTGGTTTGTGCAGCAGGAGACACTGAGCTCATGTGGTTCAGGTCTTTTCTGCCCCCAGGGAGTTGAGCCAGTAATTCCTGCAAACCCCCAAAGGGTTGGAAGTGCCTGTGGGAAGCGCTCGGCTCTTCAGATGGGCAGCAACAGGAACAACTTTGGGAATCCTGGAGCCTCAGAGCTGAGCTGGACCCAGCAAAAGTTCAGGCCAGGTCTCAGGAGAGCTCCAGGAGGCCTTGAGAGGTGGTGAATTGAACACAATCCCTATAAAACCATCTGGTTTTGCTCCAAGCTTTGCATGAAACGAGTGTGGCCTCTGAGAGGCCACCTGGGAAATCCCATCCTCCTGGATCAGTCAGAGCCAGGGAGACACAGGGCAGCTCCAGCCTCATGGGAAGGGAGCCTTCACTTGGATGATGGCTGGGAATTTTTTGGAGCAGAGCTGGTGTCTGGGCCACCACCTGTGCAGAGCTCACGTGGTCCTTTCCGTGAGAACTTGACACAAATCAGTCAAAAAGGGGTTTGAATTTCTCAGTTTGTCTCCTTTTACTGTTCCAGCGTTTATTGAGGGCTTTGCTTTAATTTTTTTTTCTCTGCTGCCCAATCTGGACCTCCCATAATTGTCACCTCCACCATGATTACAACTTTAATTTCTTCCTGTCCCTTGCTCATTCTAGTGAAAGGGGTCCCTGCTCATGGCAGGGGGTGGGACTGGGTGGTCTCAAAGGTCCCCTCCAACCCAAACCATTCTGTTCTTCTGTGATTTTATCATTTTATGATTCTCTAATTTTGTGATTTTTATGTTCTGCATCTGCCCCTGGGCATTTTTCCCTTTGTTGCTGCCTAGTGCTTCCAGGACATAAATCCACACATACAACCTTTTCTGACAAAGGCTGGGGGTGAAGACAACGTGTTTGCCACCTCCTAATGGGGAGCAGAACAAAAACCTGTGTGTTGAGTGATTAGACAGGCTTTGGAATGAATTAAAATCACTTGTGGCCTGTTTGTGTGAAGCCCCAGAAAGGCTGAGTTTGCCTGAGTGGGGAATTCCCTCCTCCTTGCAGGGGTTTGGTTGATTTGACACGAGTTACAGCAGTTGCACGGTGCATTATTTTTCCCCCTCCCCTCCCAAGAGGTTTGTTTCTTCTTTTTGGTGAGGGAACAGAACCCTTGAGAGGTGCTGAGAGGTTTCTGGAGAGGCAAAGTGCTCACCTTGGGCTGCCTGTCACAGCCACGGCATCTTTTGGAGTCGTGCCAGCAGAGCTTTCCTTCCGGCGTGGGAAAGGTGCTCAGGGTGCTCACAGTCCATAAAAACCTCCAAGGGAACGTGTTCTCTGCCTTGTAAGGAGGTGGAATGAGGAAGGACTGGAGCTGTGAGTTGGGAATACAACACCTTCCCGATGGATGAGGTGTGGTTGTGGTACCGAACCCCTCAGCACCCCGAACCCCCAGGGTAGGGCAGGACTGTGGGACTCACTCTTTGACAGGGAATTGATGCAGGAAAAATGTGAAATGGTTGGATTCAATGATCTCAGGGGTGTTTTCCAACGTAAATAATTCCATGGAAGTGTCCAAGGCCATGTTGGATGGGGCTTGGAGCAACCTGGGCTAGTGGAAGGTGTCCCTGAGCATGGCAGAGAGTGGAATGAGATGGTCTTTAAGGTTCCTTCCAACCCAAACCACTCCGTGATCCCATGATTCTGTGCATAAAAGCTTTGATTTCAGCCTGGGCAACATCTGGCTACTTCAAGTTAGGGAGAAGAGCAGGTTTCCCTTTGGGAAGCTGGTGGGATCACCTGGGGACTCGTCAGCAAACCTTAAAACCACAAGTGCTGCCCTGAGAAACTCCTGAAAGGTGGTTGGGTGCCACATTCTCAGAGAATTTCCTGATTGTCCCTATTCCATTAGAAATTTTATCTCTTGTTTGTGATCATTTAGGATGTTAATTGGAGGGAAAAATTATAGGAAGTGTCCTGAGATGCAGATGAGGAACTTCCTCTAGGATACAGCCTTGGAAGCTCTCCTGCTGTTTTGGGAACTTTGTTCAACTTGCACTGCAAGGCTTTTCCATCAGGGCCAGAAATTTGGGAAGGCAGACACTGGAGAAGGTCCTGAGCTGATTCTGATCTGAATCTGGTCTGAATCTTCTCCCTGGAGCAGAGGAGAAGAGACTCCTGAGGTGTTGGACAGAAGATGCAGATGAAGCTTAACAGGGAATCCAGGAGCAGGGAGGAGGAAAAGTGTAGGACTGTGAAGGTCTGAGGGATGTTCTGGATCCAGGGAAGCCCTAAGGGTTGGATTCTCCTGCCTGTAAAAGGAGATGTGAGGCTGCAGGTGAAGTGACAGCTCGGGGACTCATCCATCAGTGTGGAGTGTGGACACACATCCAGGGAAAAGCAACTTCAGAGTAACCACCCTCCTGGGAATAATGATGGGAATTTATCTCCCTCTCCTGCTATTGCTTCATCCCTCCCCCCTCCAGACCCAGCCAGGCCAATCCTTAATGTGTTCTGGAAAGCTGGAAAGCCTGGGAGTAATTAAGTACCTGACTCCAGGGGGTGCAGATCTCTAATTGAGGTCGTTAGATTGTATCACAGGACCAATAATTTTAATTATAATGGAAGGGCTGCAGAAAAAAAAAAACAAACTGACAAACACAGGAACCAAAAAAAAAAAAAAAAGCCCCAAACAGCAAAAAAAAAATCTGGTGAATTCCCCCCAGAAGTGTTTTATCCATGGGTTGGGTGTTGTCCCATGGGATGAGGAATTACAGCACCTGTTTCTGGTGTCCCACGGTGTAAAATAAGGATATTTTTAAGGGAAGAGAAATTCCTGTGAGGCAGAACCAGGGTTTGAGCCGGACTGTTGGTGTTTGTGGGAAGCAGGGATCCAAATTTCAGGAACAATGGGATTTTTTGCTGTGCCTACAACCCACCAAGCTCTTGTTTTGGTGCTCAGTCAGAAACTGAGTTCGAGGGATTAATCTGCTCTGAAAATCTTCCCAGATTCCCTGCACAGGGATCAGTGATCCTGCCTTGCCCTGGGATTAGGGATGTGCTCTGTCAAAGGGTTTTAATTCAGGGGTGCAAAAGTCTCTGACAGAAGAGCAAGGTTGGAAAACAGAAGCTCATTTCCCAGAAAAAAAATACTGGGCTTTTGGTGCAATTTGGCTTTGGAACAACAGTGACAAATCAGAGATGGAAAAAAATTGAAATGAAAGATAGAGAGGGGAAAATAAAGTGCTTATTAAAGATAATTCCAGGGGAAGAAAAATGAGGGCTGAAATAAAGGCCCAGATGTTCCTCTTTTGTTTCACCTGCTTTTGTTCAGAAAACAGAAAATGGGCTTCCCAGAGGGGCCTCGGACAGGAAGGGGAATGGAATTTGTTTCCCATTTTTCCTCTGCCCACCCACTGGTCAGGGATGGTCCCAGCAGGAGATGGAAGGTTTCACCACTCCTGGTTTTCACCTGCTCTCCTGAGCTTTTCCTTTCAATCCTGGAGACGAGTCCAAAGGGACATTTACCCTCTCTGCACACTGGTGTTATTTCCAAGGGCTACAAAGCATATCAAGGTGATAATTTCAGATTTTTTCCTTGATTTTACTCTGAGTTCAATGAGATGAGCCCAACCTGAGCCACCAAGGTTTCTTGTCCTCCAAGAAAGCACCTGGTGATGGGAGGGAGCAGCCAAGGAACCATCATTTCAATTTATCCAGCTAAAAAAAAACACGAAAGAAAAGAAAATAAGATTAAAACATCATTTACTGCCTTGTTTTTCTACTTGCAACCCCCAGATTTTCCTAGGGAACATATTTTTCCTTGGCTTTAAGAGGAAGGAAGAAATCCAACAAGAGATTTCCAGCTGTTTCCTGGTTAGAACTACCTGGACTTGGTGACTCTTCTGGGGGTCACAGGGGTCATGCAGTGCCCAGGAGCCTTTGGAGCAATGGGAATTTGCCTGTTAAAATCCCTGAGGGGGTTTTGGCCAAGGCCAACCAGGCGATTCCTGGGCTTTTCTCGGGAGACACCACGAACCAAGGCCTGTTCCCGGTGGGTTTGCCAGGAATTGCTCCGCTCTGAAGGGGAAGGGAGTTTAATAACATGGATTAAGGGAGTTTAATGACATGAACGAGGCAGTTCTGGGGCATTTGGACCAGCATTTTGAATGTCATTAATTAACTAATTTAGGCCCAGCACTGAGGCCACCCTTTCCCTGCAGGCACTGCTCATCCCTCAGGCAACCTGCAGAGGATGTTGGGCAAACTTGTGTCACTTTAATCCCTTTCAACCCCCTACATTCATCTCAGGAGGCAGAAAACACTGGCAGTGACCTGAGATAACATGAAATAAATGTTATTTAGCTCTGGCTGATTTCTCAGGAACAGTTAAATCCCCTTTTTCCTAAAGCAGGTGTGTGGGAACCAACACTCACACGGAGCTGGCAAGGGGTCAGGGGCTTGTGTTTGCAAAACAAGCCCATCAGGAGCTTCTTGGAGAGCCTGAAGTGTCCTCTCCAAGAAGTAAAACCTTTCTTGGGTTGAGCACTACCTCGGGAAAGATGAGCCACGTGAGAGATGCCTGAGGATTCTTTGCTTACCCGGAGCTGAAAAGGGAAGGAAGGCACAGGAGGGAACACGATCCAGCTCTATAAATACCTTCAAGGTAACAGCGAGAGGGGGGGGAGAGGATTAGTCACACTCCTGTAAGACAGGGAGGGGAGGGGACACAGCAACAGCAGGAGACAGGGAGAGGGAAAAGTTTGGAGTGAAAAGTTCGGGCTGTTTTTTCTTTCTCATTTCTGACGGAAAGAGAAGTCGCAGGGGCTCAGTTTGAGCTGGGCCTGAGGCTGAGTGGGATTTTTTTCAGGAGATTTCTGAGTCACGGGCATGAGGGATAAATGGTGCAGGATCTGCAGGTCCTGGGGGTGTCCCTGAGCTAAACCAGGGGCCTGGGTTTAGCCTTTGGGACAGGGACAGTGTCAATAGGCACAGGGTCGCTCTGCTGCCTGGTGCATTTGGAATCCAGGCTTGGCCAAAGTTTTCCCACTCCCCCTTTTCCCTGCACCCCAGATATCCCACATTCACTTTGAAGGTGCCGTGGGAAGATGGAGTTGGCCAACCAAGAGTCTGGATGGCGATTTGCTGGTGGGGCTGGGAGGTGGCTCAGTGGTGGGTGATGATTTTGGGCAGGCTCTGGGCTCTGCCTGTTAATATTTGGGGAGGTGGCTTCTCCTCTCCAGCAGAACAGCCCCGTTTGTGGGACCTTAAACCCCATTTCACCCTCTCCACCTCCCAAACCCTCCCTACTCCCAGGAATGAGAACTCCTGCCCTCAGCCCTGGCCCTGAAGTCCCTGGAGCTGGAGGTGAGGAAGGCAGGAGCTCTGGTGTGACCTCCCTGAGGGGTTGGCTCCAAGCCACACGTGGACAATCACTGTCATTGTCACCTTCCCTCATGCTGGGACTCAGAAGTGAATGTTTTCCAAAAAAAATGTGGGTTGCTGCTGCCAAGATTCTTCCCTCTCTCCTCAAGCAAGTGCCAAGAACTCTGTCTTCTCACAACAAATCCAGTGGCCAAACACAGGTTTCCCTGGAGAAAACCCTTCAGGCTGGTAAGAATTAACCAGTTGGTTCAACTGAAGGTAAATAAGTTAACATTGTTGTTCTTCTGCCTCTGGTTTCCTGGGACAATGAATCTTGTGTCTGCCTGTCAGTCTGTCCACCCCCAAGAATTTTGGAGCCCCCTGGGGAGATTAGAGAGAATCACGGAATCATGGAATGATTTGGGTTGGAAGGGACATGAAAGATCATCTCCTTCCAACCCCCTGCCCTGGGCAGGGACACCTTCCACCAGACCAGGGTGCTCCAAGCCCTGTCCAAGCTGCCCTTGCTTCATATGAAGACTCAGATGTTCAGATCCCACAGGTTGAGGGGAAATCTGCTTTGGAAAAGGGAACTCCTGGTGTTGATCACCGGGGGAAAAGTCAGTGGAGTTCACAGCAAAAAAGGTGTGTGGAAGGAGGTGGAGAAATCCAGGTCCTTGTTTTTTCCCAGGTAGGCAGTAAAGTGATGCAGATCTGCAGAGAGCCAAGGAAATGTCTTCCTGGGATCACAAGGCGATCCCTGGAGCCTGCAAGTCCAGGGAAAAAATGGCAAAGTGAGAACCTTCTGAGTATTCAGGGCTGCTCCTTGGAGGTGGAGGAGCAATGTCAGAGGAAAATTATAGTCCTGGGGCTGTTGAGCATCCAAACAGGGGAGCTGTGGTCACTGGTGGGATGTGTCATCTCTCAGGAGATGCCAAGATCTTGGACCTGTGCCATCTGCACCTTCTGAGGAGGGTTAGATTTTCCAGAGGGTGTTTGTATGTTCATGGAGCTGCTGGAGAGAGTCCAGAGCAGGCCCTGGAGCTGCTGCCAGGGCTGGACCCCCTCTGCTCTGGAGCCAGGCTGGGAGAGCTGGGGGGGTTCCCCTGGAGAAGAGAAGGCTCCAGGGAGAGCTGAGAGCCCCTTGCAGGGCCTAAAGGGGCTCCAGGAGAGCTGGAGAGGGACTGGGCACAAGGCATGGAGGGACAGCACACAGGGAATGGCTTCCCACTGGCAGAGAGGAGGGTTAGATGGGATATTGGGAAGGAATTCCTGTTTGTGAGGGTGGGGAGGCCCTGGCATAGGTTTGTCAGAGAAGCTGTGGCTGCCCCTGGATCCCTGGAAGTGTCCAAGGATCGGTTGGACAGGGCTTGGAGCAACCTTTTCTAGTGGAAGGTGTCCCTGCCCATGGCAGGAGAGTGGAATTTTCATGACTTTTAAGATCCCTTCCAACCCAAACCATTCCATGCTTCTGTGATCTTAACATGGAAACTTGCAGGAACTCCCCCAGGTTGGATTTTCTTGCTGTGGTGCCACCTTGAACATGCCAAGGACGTGGGAGAACCACTCAGGGGTCAGCAGCTGCTGATGAAGGGAATTGAGGAAAGACCAGGCTGGTGTTGAGGTAGAACCTGCCAAGGGTTGAGTCCACCTGGACAGGGAATACCTGGTTGTCCTAAGACTTTTTTGGCAGCTTCCCTGCCTGGTTCACAGTGTGTTGTGGCTCTGTTTGCACCTCCCACGTGCTGCTGAGCTTTGATGGGACACAAAGTTCTCTCCATCCCTGTCATCCAACGTGTTGGGTGCCAAAGGCTGATGGCCTGGCATGGAATGGTTGATAGCTGGTGACTCCAACAGCTCCTGGGACAGGGAAGGGCAGGGATTAAGGGAATTGGTGCTTTCTCTGCTTCTCTGCAGGTGATTTGTGTGCTCATCCCCCTCACCTTGTGTCCTGCTGCCCCCACAAATTCAGGGGCTGATCCAGAGGGGCAGAGTTTGGGATCTACCCCGTTGCATGTGATGCTAAATCATAAAATATCAGAAGGGGGAGAAGAGAGTGAAGGAGGAGGGGGAAAAGTGAGGGAGGAGGGGAAAAAAGAATGAAGGAGGAGGAGAAAAAAAGAGTGAAAGAGGAGAGGAAAAAGTAGAGGAAGGGGGGGAAAAGAGTGAAGGAGGAGGGGAAAAAAGAGTGAAGGAAAAAAGAGTGAAGGAAAAAAGAGTGAAAGAGGAGGGTAAATAAAGGAGGGAAGGAGGAGGAGAAAAAAGAGTGAAGGAAGAGGGGAAAAGTGGGGAAGAGGAGGGAAAAAAAGAGGGAAGGAGGTGGGAAAAAAGTGAGGGGGGAGGGGAAAAAACAGGAAGGAAGAGGGAGAAAAGAGGGAAGGAGGAGGGGGAGAAAAGAGTGAAGAAAGAGGGGGAAGAGTGAAGGAGGAGGGAAAAAAGTGAAGGAGGAAGGAAAAAAGAGTGAAGGAGGAGAGGAAAACTGTGGAGGAAGAGTGGAAAAAGTGAGAGAGGAGGAAAAAAAGAGTGAAGGAGGAAGGAAATAAAAGAGTGAAGGAGGAGGGGGAAAAAGTGATGGAGGAGGAGGAAAAAATGAAGGAGGAGGGAAGAAAGAGTGAAGGAAAAAAGGGCGAGGGAGGAGGGGAAAAAGAGTGAATGAGGAGGGGAAAAAGAAAGAAAGAGAAGGAAAAAAGAGAAGGAGGAGGAAAAAAGTGGAGGAAGTGTTGAAAAAGCAAAGGAGGAAGGAAAAAAGTGAAGCAGGAGGGGGAGAAAAGAGTGAAGGAGGAGGGAAAGAAAGTTAAGGAGGAGGGGGAAAAAAACGGTGAAGGAGGAGGGAAAAAAGTGTTCCTTCATGGTGCTTTTGTTTTCTAACAATGTTGACATTCTGTGGAGTAACTGAGTATAAAATCTGCCTCTGGTTTGGGAGCTGGTGAGCAGGAAAGATGTGATTATCCAGCTTTTTATGCCTCTTTACTCTGTCTGGATCAGAGGAGATAAATGTGCCGATAGGAGCCTCAGCTCCCATCTTTATTTAAGCTGTCAGGTACCTGCTACGTTATTTTATGGTGATTGTTACAGAAAGCCTCCACAAAGAGATATATGTTTCTCTATTCCCCCCTGTTTCCTATTTTAATCTATAATTCGATGATAAAAGAGATGTATTTCCCCGTGTTATTTTCATTTGGAGCCTCAACGCTTCTCTCTCGCTCTGATTTTTGCTCCAAATAAACATTGGCAGTCGCAGAACACTTAAAATATGCACAAAATCAATCTTCTCTCTCCTCTTTTGGGCTCCCCCTTGACTGGTGGTGCAGGCAGACTTTAATTTAGGCGCTAATGGGGAAGGATTCGTGGGATAAAAGGGGTTCCCCGTGGGGAGGACGCGCATGAACGTGGAGCCGTCGGTGCTCTCGGCCACATTCCCACATCCACAGGGATCCCACGGGTAAACTCGGGCACATCCGCACATGGAATGAGGTGAAAAACACATTTGTCCGGGTGAAGGAGTCAACAGAGCCAGGAAAATGTTGGAACAGGCTGCTCAGAGAAGCTGCTGCTGCCCCTGGATCCCTGGAAGTGTCCAAGGATCGGTTGGATGGGATTTGAACAACCTGGAATAGTGGAAGGTGTCCCCGCCCATGACAGCAGGTAGAAAAAGATCTTTAAGGTCCCTTCCAACCCAAACCATTCCATGATTCCATTAGCATGGAAATTTGCAGGAACTCATCCAGGCTGGATTTTCTTGCTGTGGTACCACCTTGAACATGCCGAGGATGTGGGAGAACCACTCAGGGAGCAGCAGTTGGTGATGAAGGGAATCAAGGAAAGACCAGGCTGGTGTTGAGGTAGAACCTGCCAAGGGTTGAGTCCACCTTGATGGACAAAGCATAGACAGGGAACACCTGGTTGTCCCAAGACTTCTTCACCTTCCCTGCCTGTTGTGGTCCTGTTTGCACCTCCAGGGCTGCCCCTGGATCCCTGGAACTGTCCCAGGCCAGGTTGGACGAGGCTTGGAGCAACCTGGGCTAGTGGAAGGTGTCCCTGCCCGTGGCAGGGGGTGGAAAAAGATCTTTTCAAGATCCCTTCCAGTCCAAACCATTCCATAATTCCATGATTCTATTATATTATTAACAGATTCTGGGATGAAATTCCCCATCAGAGCTTGAACAGCATCTTCCAAAATATCCAGGTGTTTTCATCCCATCAGGGCCTTGAGCTTCCCACAGGTTTCTGGGAGAGTGAGGTCCATAAAGGAGGCAGGTCTGTGGATCTGGAACCAGATAATCTGCTGTGGATCCAGATCTT